AGACAGATGGTCAGACCGAACGGATTATCCAATCGTTGGAAGACTTACTGAGGGCATGTGTTCTTGAGCAGGGAGGTTCGTGGGATACTTATCTTCCGTTGATAAAGTTCACTTATAATAACATTTACCATTCCAGTATTGGGATGGCACCTTTTGAAGCGTTGTATGGTCGAAGATGTAGAACTCCTCTATGCTGGCATGAATCTGGTGAAAGAGTAGTACTTGGACCTGACCTTGTTCGTGAAACTACTGAGAAGGTAAAGTTGATTTGAGAAAAGACGAAAGCTTCCCAAAGTAGATAGAAGAGTTATCATGACAAGCGAAGAAAAGATTTAGAATTTCAAGCGGGTGACCATGTGTTTTTGAGAGTTACACCTGTGACTGGTGTTGGGCAAGCATTGAAGTCTAAGAAGCTCACTTCTCATTTTATTGGACCATATCAGATTTTGGATAGAGTTGGGAATTTTGCTTATAGAGTGGCTTTACCACCTAATCTTTCAAATTTGTATGATGTGTTTCATGTGTCGCAACTCCGGAAGTATATTTCAGATTCATCACATGTGATTCATATGGATGATATGCAAGTACAGGATAATCTTAAGGTGGAGACGATGCCTGTACGGATCGTGGGTCGTGAAATAAAGACTCTGAGGGGCAAGGAGATTGCTTTGGTTAAAGTGGTTTGGCTTGGGGCTGCAGAGAAAGCATGACTTAGGAGTTGGAAAGCAAGATGCAGGACTCCTATCATGAGTTATTTGATTAAGGTAAATTCTTGGGGACGAAAATATTCTAAGTGGGGGAGAGTTGTAACGCCCGTAATTTAATTAATTATTTAATTAAATTATTTTTGGATTATTTGTGAAGTTGTGATGATAGTCGATGGGTTGTTGTTATTGGATTTATTTATTTTATTAAGTTGTGGAATAATATTAGAATGATGATATTATTTGATGTGAGCCTGCTTTAAAGGATAGAAGTAGTAGAAAAGGGGGTGTATGAGTTATAAGTCCATTTAGGAATTTTGAGAATTATAGGGTTATTTTATTATTGTTAGAAATAATAAGAAAAGAAGCAGTAAGAGAGAAAGAAATAAGGGTTGGAAGAAGAGAAAGAACGTGAAAGTTGCAGAAAAGAAGGAAAAGAGGCAGAACGAAATTCAATTGGAAAAGTTATAGAACAACCTTCAATCTAAGGTAAGGGTGGGGTTCTGACTCTATAATAGGGTTTATGATGATTAGTATGTGGGATTAGATGTGAAAGATTGTTTGGTTTATGATTGAATTATATACATTGTTGTATGGTAAGAATCGATGATTTAAGGATGAATAATGATGCCTTAATGTTGTGTAATTGATGTAAAAATATAGGATAATTATAATTGATGATTACCCATGATTAGAGGATGTTTTTAGGGCCTAAAGCATGAAAGCCGTGGTGAAAACACAGTGCAATCGCAGAAAATATTCATGACAGAACAATATACGTTGACCCTAAAAGCTATGCGTCGATGCATGAAAGCCTTTAGACTCAGGATGAGTCGATACGAAGAGGCCATGCGTCGATACATGCAGGCTTTTAGACTCAGGATGAGTCGATACGTAGGAGCATGTGTCGATACATGCAGTGTTTCAGACTCAGTATGAGTCGATACGAAGGGAGTACGCATCGATACATGCAGCGTGTTAAGCCCAGTATGCGTCGACTCAAGGCATTACGCGTCGATTCATGTGGTCTTGTTTTTGACAGATTTGTTTTCCAGAGGCTATAACTTAAGTTTTCGGACTCCGTTTGAGGTGCCGCTCGAAGCATTGGATAGCTAACGCGACGAACTTCATTCTTAAGGATTAAAGTGAAGGATAAGAAGAATGATCCTAGTAACTCAATTTAGGACTAGATTTAGCTTCCCGCGTTAATCGCTATGATGATTTTGTGAAGAATGATGAGGATGAGATGATTATAGATTACTGTTTGGTTCGTAACAGTAAGATTAATGATGATAATGATATAGTATTACAGAATAGTAATATGTAGAAGTTGGCAATTTAAAGGTAAGCCTTAAATGATTAATTAATTATAGGCAATATCATGTTGTAGGCCTATGGCCAACGTTGCGGGATTGTCGATCTAACGTTGTATTATTGTTGTGGCTGAGTTATTATGAATTATGATGATAAATGATGTTTGACGAATTGTGATGATAAATGATGTTTGATGAATTATGATGATAAATGATGTTTGATGAATTATGTTGATAAATGATGTTGATGAATGATGTTGATAAAAGATGTTGAAATGCCTCTAATAATTGGCAGTTATTGAGATGCAGGCTTCTGACCAACGATGATGTTGTGTTGAGATGTTGTTAATTATGGTGTTGTCATTACATTCATGATTGTGTCGCATACATTGTATTTCAAGATGGAGTTGATGCTCGTTAAGATGGTATGTATTGGCGAATATTAAGATGAAAGCTTATGTCTTGTTGATGCCTCTATTTATTGGCAATTATTTTGAGATGGGAGTTCTGCTCCAATGGTACCACATGCATTTGCATAGTATTGAGTCACATTATATGATTGCATAAAGAAGTTGTGTATTGATGTGGTGAATGTGTATTATCATTGGTATTCTGTTGCGATTATTGTTGATTATAAGATGAGAAGTGGTGATGTTATGTGATCTAATTTAATATATTATTTATCATACATTTTATTATATTGTTAGATATCTCACCCCTTCTGTTTGAATGTTACTCTTATGTTGATAACGTGCAGGTAATCGAGAGTGAAGACATTATACATTCAGTAGTTTGAGTCGGTGTCATTGCTCTGATACGTAACACTCGGGGGGATGAACGCTTTGTTGCTTTTAGTTATTGATTATTTCAGTTGTTGAATTTTAATTTGATTGTTGCCGAGTATGTGTTATTTTGGAATTGCTGTGACGATGGACAAAGATGTTATTAAGAATTCCGCTGCGTAGATGTTCAAGTTGTTGAATTAAGAGATTAAATTATTATGCTGATGGTTCATCCGAAGTTTTAAAGTGTTATGTATCCATGTCGAATGCAATGTGTTTTTAAAGTTGAATTTGTGACATCCTGATTCAGTTGCATGATTTTTGTGACTCTGATTTACATTTATAATTGCCGGGTAGAATTGGAGTGTTACAAAAATCACTTTATTATTTTGTTTTGGCAAGAATCATTTTACAATTAAATCTTATAACATTTGCATGAATTTTTTAAAATGATATTTTCAATCTAAAAATTTATAAAAAAATTTGAAAGTTCTTTTAAAAAGAATATGAAAAAAATCTATATAGCTCTACAATTTGTTTCAAAATCTTCAAAAAAAAAATTTATATATCAAAATAACTTTCTAAAATATCAATCGAATACACCCTAAGATATTAATTGTGATAATTAAAGAATCTCAAATAAACCAAGATCAAATTAGATCAAGCTATTTTTATATTAGTCCAATCTTATTTTAACCAAAATATAGACCAAGTTGGACAAGTACACAACAAGTTGATTTTTGTTGTCTAGTAGAAAAAGAAAAAGAAAAAGAAAAAAAACAAAAAAAACAAAAGTAGGTTTTGGATAAAAGTGAGAATAAAGGGGTGAAAATGTAAAATGAGAAAAGTTATAGGAACAAACAAACAACACAAACAAGTATTAGTTGGTGATGATGATTTTTACAATCAAGCCACAACACAACAGCTTCAACAACAAGAGACAGGTAGTTGAAGAAACGAACCCTAACATAAGAGAGAGAAAGTTAACACCTTTGCTTTCATTTCAAGCCCCTTTTGGTACCATTTGCATTTAGGGATCTCGAATCTTCAATCTACAAAGGCGAGTTTTTCTCTTCTTTATTCAATTTTTTCTTTTTGTTTCGGTGTTTTCCTAATTTGTATTTTTGTTAGCTTGTGAAACGAATCTATCACTTTTTTTGTATCTTCAATTTCATCAATCAGCTCCAAATTTCATCCAATTGCTGTTCTATTGATGCATTAGAGTCGCACATTGCATCGTGTTTGAATCTGCTCAGAGTAATTTTTCCCCTTTTGTTGACCTTTTTTGGAATCTGAATTTTCTGAACGCGTGTGTGTTTGCATGATTTCGGTAGATTAGACTTGAAAGGTATTTGATTAAAGTTTCTATCTTGGGTTTTTTCCTCATCTGGGTCTTTGGAAATTGAAACAAACTAGTAAGTGGATGCGGTTTTTTATTTGATTTTTTTCTCAGTTGATTGGATTTTTTTCCCCCTCAGGTAGTAGCTTTGTTGGTTCCGAGCTTCGGATTTTTTATGCAGTTTGTTTTTGAAATCCTTGTTCTTGGGTTTTCTGTTACATTGGTAGCAAACTGTTGTTTCCTTGGCAGGTTTAATTCGTTTGTTAACGATAAGAGGCCAATTTGTTTGCAATATAGCAGTGGTTTTATTATGCTTTCTCTTGAAAGCGTTGATGATTCTTATGTGTGAGGATAACTATTTTTCTTGGTACTATTTCATATTAGATTTGCATTATTGCAATGAAAATGGATAGACTGATTGATATATGATGCTCTCAACCAAGTATCTAGTTTTACTCGTTTAAGATTCTTGAGATTACTGCGATGTTTTATTGTTTCCAAAACTATGTTTTTAAGAGCTTAGGAAAACCGTCACATCAACTCTTTTGATTGTTAGTGCAGTGAATTTGCATATACATCAAGTTTCAATTGTTTCAAAACATTTAATGTGAACTTGCATATACCCCGGTATTCAAATAGCACAAGTTTGTGGTTATATTTTGTAATGAAGAACAAGAACATAAGCTCATCAGGTCATCCTTGTTGCTTATTGAATGGCATGCTTTATTCTTCATTGAAGATTCTTCAAAATTATTTATTGCATCTATTCTTTGTTTTAGCTTTTAATGCATCTATTACATGGTCATAGTGTTTGGTGATTCATATAATGTTATTTGATTTCACAGGTATTGATCCGGCTTCTATGGCAAATTCAAAGAGCTCATCGGGTGTCAGAAATTTTGTGTATCCTGGAAAGCAGGCTCACGCTTTGCTCCCTCCCAAAAGCCCATTTCCTAGTATTTCTCAAGCATATGCTGATTATGTCTCAAATCCTACAGTTGGTTCAAGACCTGTTAATAAGCCAAGAGACGGAAACACACACCACCAACGTACTTCATCTGAGAGCCATCTTATTGAGGAGCAGCCATCATGGCTAGATGATCTTCTAAATGAGCCGGATACACCTGTCAGAAAGGGTGGTCATAGGCGTTCATCAAGTGATTCTTTTGCATATGTCGACACTCTTAATGCGCCGAACATCAGTTATGCGGATCATGACGATTATAAATATAAGAATTTCTTATCTATTCCGGCTTGGTCACCTCCAGATTTTGATCGAAACAAAGATGCTCGTCATGTTCCCATGTATTCAGAAATGAATGCAGCAAGACAGAAAAATAGATCATGGGACTCTTTTTCGAATATGAGTGGCGCTCCATCTGGCAAAGACAGCGTAGCTTTTCAGAGATCAGGATCACCGACACCATGTACACTGTATGAAGCAGATCGGATCCTACCAACTGCAAATGAAAATCATGATTCAGTAGAATCTGGCTTACAAGACACTAGATCATCTTTTGAAAGAAAGGACGGTTTGCATGCAAAGTCATCTGCTTCTGAAACAGATACAAAACGCGCTAAACAGTATGTACCTTTTTGTGTGTAGCTATTATGGTAATTGTTTAATTTTACCATTTTTATGAGTTGGAGGCAGCTTGTTTCAGTGAATGAATAATTTGATCACCTGCTTCTGTTCTCTCATTATGTTTCTCCATGCAGAATAGTTTCATATTGCAATCACATGAAGTTGTGTCATATGCTCTATTTGGCCTTTTTAAAGTTTTCAGATACACTGTATAACAAGTTCAATATTATACTTAGAAAAGGAAAAAACAATTAGTGATTGTGTATGCCACAGAAGAATCTCTGCCGTACTAAAACTTTTACACTATTTCCCGTGTAGAAAAAAATATACATGTTTCTCTAATTCTAGATAATGGAATTAATGTTTTTTCTTGACTATTTTTTGCTACTTGAGTTAACAGAATATTTATAAAAACCAATAAATTCATTAATGGAATGGGAAAAAAAAATCTAAAATACTATTATTGCAGGCAATTTGCTCAACGGTCACGGGTTCGTAAACTTCAGTACATAGCCGAGCTGGAAAGAAATGTACAGTCTTTACAGGTAAGTTTCAGCATAAAGCAATAATGTGCCGCAGTGATATTTTTTAAAATGCATATATGTGCTTGTGCGTGTATATATAAATATAAGTTTCGCAGGTTGAAGACTCTATTTAATTCTTTTTATGTCAATACACAGGCAGAAGGGTCTGAAGTATCGGCTGAGCTTGAGTTTCTTAACCAGCAGAATCTTATCCTGAGTATGGAGAATAAAGCACTCAAACAACGTTTAGAAAGTTTAGCACAGGAGCAGCTTATCAAATACTGTAAGTTTCTATCGTATGAGAATTATCAATTTATGTTTTCAAGTAATGGAAGTCTGTTTCATAGTTTAAGTATTCTTGGCGAATATATATTTTGTTTAGGAGAAAGAAATCAGTTAGTGATTAACAGTACATGATTGACTTAATCATATCTTGACAACATTAGAACATGTTTATAGCTAAATTGTGATCCATTGTTAGTGTTACTTGTTTACACATGGTTATATGTTCACAATTCCTTAAAAGAGTTCAACGTTTAGGTAAAATGGATGCTGCAGTCAAACTTGTTATACTAATGAGGCATTGTATGATTGATATTTAAAAAACTGTTGATGAGAATAAAATCAAAGTGACTGTGTGCTTCCTCATAGATTTGATATTAAGGTTGTCTGCTACTGGATTGGTTTACCATGTGGCCAGACACTTCCTAAATTGGAAATGTTTTGCTTCGTCAATCTATAATAACAAATTCAACCGCCTTTAGGCAACTAGGCAATGCTATGTGGAAAATTTGAAAAGCATTATTGTAGTTTATACTGTCGTTTGTTCTAGTAATTTCTGTTGTCTTTAAAACTTGGATAAGGAATATCTCATTGTCTGGGCATTCTTTTCTTGTATTCCTTCTTGCAATATAAACTCTATGCACACGAGTATTGAGTAAATTTGATGTTTATGTTTCTTCTTCTGATTTACTTATTCGGCATTGTGTCATGTTTATTGTCATGTTTATGTGAAGAACAATTGTCTGTCTCCCTGAGTTCTCTTTAGTCTTTCTTTTGGCCCTGTAAGTTCTCTTTAGGAATGATTAGTTTCATAGAGTTGACAATTTTTTTTGGAGCACTAAAAACTAAACAATTTGAAATTCAGTGGAGCAGGAAGTACTGGAAAGAGAGATTGGAAGATTACGTGGCATGTATCAACAACACCTGCAACAGTCACATCAGCCTCAACAACAACCATCTGGCAGTCATAGACGCACAAACAGCAGAGACCTTGACTCTCAGTTTGCCAACCTTTCTCTCAAGCACAAGGACACCAACCCGGGGCACGACCCTTCAAATGGAGCTCTCAGAATTTAGATGTTGCCACCCCTGTGATAGAATTTGTTTCCTTCCAACATGCGGGATTGTGCAGAGATTTCCAGGATATGCGCCCTCTCTCTCTGCCCGCGTTGCTGATATTTCAGCGTTCATTTTAAGTCGTTATTATGTTCTCTATTTACTTAAACTATTGCATTTATTTAATGTTGCACCTGGTGGTCATTGCTGAAATCTTAATTCTAATTTCTGTCACTTGACCTGCCGGAGGTGGTAACAATGATTTCGAAACTTTTGCTCCTACTGAATCTCCTTCAGTCCAGTGATTATGTAACTGAATACCTCCTCTTGTGAATCTCCGTTGTGTTGGAAGTTGGCCCAGTGCAAAGAGCAGATATCTTAGGGCTATTTGGATGTGCATTATTATTTGTATGGATATCGTTTAGCTAATGTTTGTAATGTGATTTTAATGGAGTTCATCTTTTCTGAACACGTCTTCTCTGATTGCAGTGAGAAGATTAGATTGACTTTGGACATTGTTGTTGTCAGTTATTATTTCCTAAAATGTAATTTCAGCTTTCACTTGTAGACCGATGGTAGGAAGCTTTAGAATGTTATTGACTTCAATTTTAGAGTCTTATGCTATCTAATTTTATTCGTTTATGTTTCCCAAGAAAGATAGTTAAATTTTGATTTTTTTTAAAATTAAATCTGGTACCCTCTATGTGCAATAGATGACAAAGTTCTTCAAGAGATTTAATTTTTCAAAAGATTTAACTTATTTGCTGGAAGAGATTTTTATCATCTCATTCAAATACTTTTGGGTTAAATTTCTTTGTTTACAAAGAAGATTGAAGTATATTATTCTCCTAATATATTTTAATATATTTAAAGGTAATCAAAACATTCGGTCTATTTTTATTTTCTATAATATTTAATCTGGATGGTATTTTATGAGCAAGTTGGACAACTTTTTAGTGTCATCTAATGTGGTTAGCTTGTGGAATATAATTGGGCAATGAGTGGGTTTGAGGGACTTATCCGATCACTGCTCCAAACCGTTCATTTTTAACAATTGTTGGTTGCTGCATAAAGACTATGAATTTTTTCCAAGAGAAGTGGAATATGATCAATATCGAAGGTAGAGGTGATTTCAAGTTCAAGGAGAAGTTAAAACTTTTGAAGGTAGACTCAAGTGGTGGAATAAAATGGTGTTTGGTTGGGTAGATCTGAAAGTGAAGAATTTAGTTTTTGACCTGAATGACTTTGATAACATGTTGGCGTCTAACCAAGGAGGAGGAAAGTTCTTGAGTCGGAAATCTAGATAATGTGGCTGAAAGAGGGGATTAAAATTTCAAATTCTTTCATAATTCTTTGAATGATAGAAGTGAGAATCACATTAATGTTGTAGATACTCCTAATGGGAGAGTTGAAGGGGTGCTTAAGGTTAAGAATGTTGTGAAATGTCATTGTGAAAGTTTCTTCAAAGAGAGCAATTCTATCAAGCCGGTTTCATATGTGTTATGGACTGGGCCTGCTCGTGACCCAATCACCAGTGAGGTCCAATCCAAGCTTTACCACGTACCATGTTGGGCATTAGATCCTCCGGGCACACCCCAATCATGGGTGACTGGTCGAATACGACTGCGCCTGCCGGTGCCCGCGAAGAGCGTCCCCGACGAGGGACGTCCCAGATGAGGAACATCTCAATCCAAGCACTACTCGAGTACCCTCCTCGTAGGGCAGACTTTCAACCTCTCCGGATGTCTCGGAGTCCTCATGGTCCCGGGAAGATCGCGTCTTTACCCTCTCTATTATGCAGAGAGAATCATCCAGGTAGGAGACCACGTGCAGGTCCCCACTACTCACGTAGAACCTGGAAGTCCCTTTGTTGGGCATGTTTGGTCAGCCCAATAAAGGGACCTTGGCCCAGCGTTAGGGGCTATAAATACCCTCTATTTCGAGATGGCCAGGTATTCATTTCATTCACACCTATATACTTACTTGCCTGCTCATTCCGTCTCACACTTTGTCATCAGAGTGTCTTGCAGGTACCCCCCCCCCCCCCCCCCCATCTCCTTCGAACGCCATTCAGAGCCAGCTGTGACGGTCCAACTCTGATCATGTACGATCAATATGGTTTAGTCTTTAAAATACTTTCTGTAGATGATTGTAATTCTTTAGAGGATTTTTTTCCAGTGCAGGAGATTAAGGAGGCAGTGTGGAGTTGCGATGGCAACAAAAGTGTGGGTCCAGATGGATTCACTTTTGAATTTCTTAAAATGTGTCAACTCTTATGTGTTTAATTTTGTGAAGGACTTCTATTCTAAGGCAAAACTCACGAATGCTGGTACAATTTATTTTCTAGTCATGATTCCCAAAGTTAGTAGCCCTCAATCCTTATCAGTGCATAGATTAATTTGTCTCGTTGGATGCATGTATGAAATTATCGCTATTTTTTTTGCCTTGAGACTAAAAAGAGTGATTGGCAAGATCATTTTCAAAAATCAATTAGCCTTTATTCTAGGAAGAAATATTTTGGATGGAGTGTTAGTGGTGAATGAGGTGTTAGACTTAGCGAAAAGAGAAAAAACAAATTTATATGGTTTTAAAAGTGGATTATGAGAAAGCTTACGATAGAGTAAATTGGAACTATTTGAGATTATGTTTCAACAAAATGGCATTCGGTCTAAGGTGGTTAAGGTGGATGGAGGCTTGTGTTTTTAATATCTCGATGTCAGTGTTGGTTAACGACAGTGCTACACAGGATTTCATTGTGGAGAGGGGTTTGAGGCAGGGGATACTCTTTCCCCTTTCCTGTTTGTTATGGATACGAAGGGTCTCACGGGGCTGATGAACCCAATGATGTAATTTTGAGAGGTTTGAGTTGGCGACGGGTTAAAAGTGAACTTCTTTAGGAGAAAACTCTATGACATTAATTTGAGCGAGAGTACCATGAATTCGACTTCTACTTTTCTTACCTGCTGTGAAGATCAATCCCCCTTTAAGCTTGTAGGGGTGAAAGTGGTGATAGCCCTCTTAAGGTGCACATGTGGAAGAAAGTTATTAGCAATATCAGGAACATATTGACAAACTGAAGGAGTAGATTTCTTTCTTTCGGAGGGAGGGTAGTGTTAATCAATGTCGTTTTAAATTCAATTCTCATATACACTTTGTCCTTTTACAAAGTGTCGATTAAGGTTTTGAAAGAGATTAGAAGGATGCAATCTAATATCCCGTGGGAAGGGTCCGAGACCAAAAAGTCGATTCACTGGGTTAACTGGGATTTTGTGTGCAAACCTAAAGATCATAGGGGAGTTGGACAATTGTCCTGTTGAGGTTCATGTTGTTGTCTTGGCAGCGTTACGAAATTTGTGAAAGGTAAGGGCTCCGTCTATTGTGTTAGTGTTCGGTTGGAGGATGAACCTCAATCGCTTACCAACAATAAATCAATTATTTTCTAAAGGTATTTTAGTTGAGGTTAAAAGTGGACCGTCACAGCTGGTTCGAACTGATCGTACCTGATCAGAAGTGGACCATCACAGCTGGTTCGAACTGAATTTGAAGGAGACGGGGGGGGGAGGGTACCGCAAGACACTCTGATGATAAAGTGAGAAACGGAATGAGCAGGCGAATTGTATGTAGGTGTGAATAAATGAATACCTGACCCTCTTGAAATAGAGGGTATTTATAGCCCCCAGCGTTGGGCCAAGGCCCCTTTATTGGGCTGATTAAACAGGCCCAACAAAGGGACTTCCAGGTTCTACGTGGAGTAGTGGGGACCTGCACGTGGTCCCCTACCTGGATGATGCTCTCCGCAGAAATAGGGAGGTGAAGACGCGATCTTCTCGGGACCCTGGGGACTCCGAGATATTATGAGAGGTTGAGTCTGCCCTACGAGGAGTGTGTTCGAGCAAGACCTGGATTGAGACGTTCCTCGTCTGGTACGTCCCTTGTCGGGGACTCTCTTCACGGACACTGACGGGCACAATTGTGTTCGACGACACCCATGATCGGGGTGTGTCGGGGATTCTAATACTCAGCATGGTATGTTGTAAAGCTTGGATTAGGCCTCGCTGGTAATTGGGCCACGGGCAGGCCCAGTCCAGAACTGGAGCCCCCCAAGTCGCTGCTCCTGGTATGAGAGTTGTGACTTGACTCAAACTCGTTATTCCGCGAGGCTCGCTTGCGCGACGCAGGGGCTTCCAATCGGGGAGAACAGGCATCGCCCGGTTTCTGATTTTCCCCGTGCAGCGATCGAGGAGCGTTCGAGGAATTGTTGTAGGGAGGCGGTGATGCATCAGTTAGACACGTGGTGCGACTCTTGGGAACCACAATGCTGACCTAGGGAGTAGGGACATCATTGTCTATGCAAGTAGGCGTCGAGGACGGGGCGGTTCGTGGTTTCCCGGTGCAACGTTTCATATTCCACGTCATCTCTATAAATAGGGCTCCAAGGCCCATAGTCTGTTTCACCTCTTTACGCTTCTCACACTTTCTCTGTTTTCACTTCCGTGAGTTTTCATAACGTCGCTGAGACCGCCGCGCCGCTCATCGTCTGATTACTTCCACCATCGTCGCTCTTCAAATCTTCTTCTAAGTTAGTGTCCTTTCCTTTTGATTTCTCGTGTTGTAGATAGTTTTGACGATGTTTTAGTAGTAGAAACTTGTGTCTGGGGATTATGCCCGATAGATTTAAGCGCGCTACGCGCCTAATTCATGGTTGTGCCCGAAATATTCATGAGTTTAGGCATATGGTTCATGATAGTGCCCGTGATACTCATCTGTTTTGGCTAGTAGATTCATGAACTTGGTCGGGAGATTCATCCTTTCGTTAGTACGTAGGCTAGTTTCCCCGTAATATTGTTGTACTGGGCCAGCATAATTATGAACTTGGTCGCGGGATTCATGCTTCGCCCGGGGCACTCATGTTGTGCTCGCGTCGTTCATGATTGATGTGTGTCGGCCGCTGGGGGGTCGCTGTTTGGTTGAGATCCACTTGTTTCCCATTTCTCGTGCGAATGGCCGTAGACTTGACCTGA